GAAAAAAGGTGAAGATAACGAACAGTGATCAATCTTTAAAAAAAAAACTATAAACAATACAAATCTGTGAAGAGGACACAAAACACAGACCCTTGGAAATTCTAGAAGTTGGATCAGTTGCCTAGGAGGAGTAAGAACCCCATGTTGACCATCCAAGAACACCGACATCGCGTAAACCGATACTGGATATGATCATTCCTATTCACGTTGATAGGCATTTTCATCTGGGCCTACTTTAGGTATATATCAAGATTAGATATTGAAGTCATCTGAATATCACAAAGTTGCATTCAATGCCATCTAGCAATTATGTATTGAAATGAATATTTAAACTTTCAGACTAAAACATAAGAAGATCGCAAACATTTTATAGATATAAAAAATTTCACATAAAAGTACCAGCTGATTTGGGCCCTACCATACAAAGAAAGGTAACTCTTTCATGCAGACTTTTTTAACCAACATTTTTTTCACTATTCTTTGTCAACTTTACTTTCAATATCAACATTTGCATATCATTGATATTCATTAGTATTTTTTTATCTATAGATTTTAGTACAGATTAAACCACCAGTTTTCCGAAAATTGAATTTGAATGTTAAAAAACTGACATTTTTCCAGAAATAATAATAAAAAAAAAAATATATGAATACAATGAACAATATTATGTTGTGTTTCAGCTCTTACATGACAGTCGGAAATGTTTTAAATGAAATAGTTATGAATTTTAAGTCAGTCAATAAAAAAAATTTAAGCAATTGAAATTCATTTGAAACATAATTAAAAAATTCGTCAAAAATAAAGGGAAAATATCTGCTTCTGGGAATAATGTAGATGGTTCTATACAATAAAGAGGCACTGGTATGCAAAATATCACTAGGCGTGTTATTCTACCTTAAAGTTGTTTGCTCATTATTATCATGCAAATTGTTTGCCTGCTAGACGTCGATGGACAAAGAAGAAAAAAAGAGAATATTTTCAATATATGGCCAAGTTAGACCCTTGAGTCTGAAACCAAGTGTAGAGAATTTCACAACTTTAAATAGGGTCATTGCTTATCATAACCATGTCAACATTTTGATTTTTTAATGCATAGGAGAAAAAAGGAATTTTGAAGATTGTATCAAATTTGATAGATTTGTCCATGACCCTTAAGCCCCAGGAAGGCAGAGACCATGACATTAACAATTTTTACCTTTTGTCCGTAGATGCTATATATCAAATTTAGTTGAAAATCGTTTGTAAGGCTCATTATCATAACGGAACCGTCACGTAGCTCAGCCAGTAGAGCGCTCGCTCCGTGATCGGAAGGTCGTGTATTCGAATCACAGCCGCGACTGACCTAGGTCGAAAAAAATAGGTAGCTACAGTTCCATCGCCAACCGCTCTGCATTTTGAAGTGAAAGTTGCGGTCATTCGGATGAGACCTTAAAAACCGAGGCTCCGTGTCATGGTAGGCGTTGGAACGATAAAGAACCCTCACTGCTCAATGGCCCTGAGTTCCGAGTAAAGGTCTAAATTTGAAGTCCTTTACCAGTATATGGTGACGTCTCTATATGAGTGAAAAATTCTCAAATCGGACGTAAAACAACATACAATCAATCAATCATAACCGTATTTTAGAAGAACTTGGTTTTAATTCTGCATCTGGAAAATACTCACACTTCACTTTCTAAGAATAAAATTCTTTCAAAATCCGATTAGGTATTTAATACTATAAACATTCAAGTCAACGATTCCTAAACGTAATAAAAATCTTAACCAAGATACATTGCCGGGTCAGACAAATGCTCTTTCAAGCCCCTATCTTTATTTCTCACAAAAATATTAACTGTTGAAAAGGAGAAACTTATTTAAAAGTATTGTGCTACATCATATTCGAGAAATGATGTAAATCTAATCTTTATTCTGAAAAACTTCAAAGAGCTAATTTTTTTTTAAAATAAAATAAATAAATAAATAATAATAATAATAATAAAGTAAAATAAAAATGACATTACAACCATCAAAACGTATGAGTTTTCTACACAACCATTTAATTAATTTGAATTACCATACCTTTATTGCATTTCTAGACTACATAAATATCGCTATAAACAAAGATACATGTACATAGCGGGTTCTATCAAGCCTCTTTCTTTACTCCTAACGAAAATATGTTTGGCTCATCGCCTTGCGTAATCTTCTACAGAATTCATATTTATGAAATTTTGACTCCAGTTGAAAGATCGGGGTTCCCTTAATTTTATCCCCTTTAAAATGACTTATTTTAAGTTCTCATTATTAATGATATTTATTATATATTTATTAATAATATTTACGTCACCAGTAATGACGAGTCCAGCAGGACTATAGTTGTAGGGTGGAGAACATGAACGCATTGGAGGATTGTGTTTGATATGAGATATTTGATATCTAGGAACCATTTGGTATCTAGGATATCTAGGAAGGATTTTTTTTAATTAAAACGTTTGGAAGCAATAGTCGATGATTATTTGTAAGAAATACTAAGTGTGATCTTCAACTTAAAACATGGTGGAATGCAAGACTGGACCTTTTGCGATTAAAACTATTTCTTATATTAATTGCATCAATTCTTTTGTTAATACACGTATTTAAATAATTAATGATATCTTCAAATAATTATGATTTGTAAAATTTTTAATTTGGGGCTCATAATCTTATCGATAATTTCACTAGGAATTTTACTTTCTTGCTGAGTGAAGCAAATCCATTGTTTTCTCGCATAATCACCGGTGTTAGATAGACCTGTCCAGTGTGAGACGGCAGTGTGAGATTTTTCTGTCTTACACTGTGTATAACTACGCTGCGAACGGCAACTTAAACATTCCTTCTTATATAATACTTGTAACAATGTCTTAAAAAAAGTAACATATTCTTAAAATGTTGTTGTTTTATTTATTTAATCAAACTTATTTTCATTCAAAAGATTGTCGTATTTTCACTTTCTAAATGGCACTATTTGTAGGTCGCGGAAGGATTCTTCTAAAATGTTACACTATCGTTTTTTTTTAAATCCAGTTTATTTAATTCAGAATGATTTAAGTGGACTGAAATTCATTTTCTGAGTTTACACATACTGTGTAAACCATTTTAAGGTACGATTTATTTGATGGTGTTTACAGATTTTTAATAGGATGCTAAATTAAAAATATAATTTTTTCAATGGTGATGGCAAGCCGTTATTTTGGATAAAATAATGCGAGAAAAATAATCATTCATTACATACTCGTGTGGGATAGTGAAATTCCACCTCGGGGCCAAGATTCACTGTCTAGGACTCGGCAAAGCCTCGTCCTAGACCGTGAATCTTGTCCCCTCGGTGGAATTTCACTATTCCACACTCGTAGTAATGAATGATTCTATTATTCTCTAATGTGACGTCAGTGATGATGATCATTGCGGGGTCACGTGAAAACAAGATATGATATTGATTTCTGGTCAAATACACTTGAAGATGTTTTTTCTTATCGCGAAAAATATTAACCCCTACCTAAAGAGTCATCCAAAAATGATTTTGAAAATGTTATTTGATTTTTTTTCTAGATGAAACACAAAATAAATATCCACATAAGTCCTCTAAGGCTGCGATGATACACGCATAACTGATACCGATCTATCCGGTAGGAGTTATATTTTTGGATAAGATATAAAATGGGAGATATATCTCTCTTTAGAAAAGCATAAACTTCGTAGTTTTGTACACGGTGAAATGATCATATGTTTAACAAAATATCGGTTTTTTTGATTGTTTTTTGCCCCAAGCTATCTTCATATGGTAGAACTTGAAAGTTGCAATTCAGTATTTTTTGTTTTTGGTTTATTTACAATCTTTACATCATTTGCACTGTTCATTCACTGAAGAAAATCTATAAAGTCTACAATTTCAGAAAAGGATTTAAACCAGCAAAACGCTTCAAACAAAATCGCTTATGGTTATTCATATATTATTTATAAACAAGCAAGTAAAACCAGGGTGGGGGCTTATTCAATATAGAAAATCTATAAAATTCTATAATTTCAGAAAAGTATTTATACAAGCAAATCGCCTGAAACATAATCGCTTATGATTATTTCTAAATTATTTAAAAACATACAATGGAAACGTAAAACCCGATGGGGGTGGGGGTGGGCTGTAGTTTCCACTTTTATATAGAATAAACTTTTAATATTAACATTTTTTTCAAGCATGATCTTTTGCTGTTGATTTAGTATGGAAATTTCATTGCACCCCCCCCCCCCCCATCACCACCACAACCACCAGCTCCACCATACACTCACACACATACAAGCACAATTTGCAGTTCGGTCAAACCCTTCCACTTAATTAATGTAATCAAAAATATGGTTTTGGTAATATTTATAGAATTAGATTCCAAATAGCCCTTGAAGTAGGTTTTCGGGGGACGGAATTTTCGAGTTTGTACTCATTTTCCTTTTTTGCCTTAGTTTTTTCTGGTTTATCTTTTTCTTGCTTGTTTATTTTCTATCTACTACTTCTGCCTTTGTAAATCGATTCTACGTGCATATCAAAATCAGATTATAAAGAATTGAATGATTAACACAATGAGAAAATGTCTCTTGTCACACTTTTGTTGTCGGCGTCTATAGCATTGCTAATCCATGGCTTCTCTTCTTGATCCACATCTGTAGAGTATAACTGTAAAAAAAAATAAAATATTTTTCTTTTAAAAATTAAGATCAGTAATATTTAATATTTATCCTACAGCAATTGTATAAAATCCACAGAAACCATAATATATGAAACAAATCACATCACTTTATTTTTAATTTTTTTTCCCTTGATATATATATATATATATATATATATATATATATATATATATATATATATATATATATATATATATATATATATATATATATATATATATATATATATATATATATATATATATACAGAGAGAGAGAGAGAGAGAGAGAGAGAGAGAGAATGAGAATGAATGAATGGTATGTACCTAGTGACATTTGATCAACATCATTGTTCCCCGAACATCAAGACCTCTCATAACTGTAGGATTCCATGGGTACTGCCAGTATTTGGAGTTCCAGGGCCCGTTAAGGAAGGCGTGGCGACAATTGTTAAACCACCAGCCCCCTTCATAAGCAGCCGCACAGTTACTTAAACTCCACCTGTCGCTGTCTTTGTCATATGTACTGAAGTACATACCTGACAAGTCATACGAAGGATTACCGGTATTCATCATACTATCACCTACAGAAAAAAGAACAATAAATACAAATCTGAATTAAAGAAATTTATTATAAATATGAATTAAAGAAAATTAAAATAAATATAACACGCTTATTGTTAACAGTCAGATTGAGGACAATGGGAGATAGATTCCTCACAATAAGAATGAAATGATCTGAATAAAGTCACCTGTGTCACCCGTATGAAGAGAAAGGAGCATAGTTCACATCCTTGTCTGATGCCCTGTCTTATTCATAGAAATGGTATAAATGATATTTTAATGCCGAAAAGCGGCTATCTTTTAATTATGAATCTAGTACTTTAAGAGAAAAAAATGAAAAAGGGGAATTCAGGTCAGTTACAGATAAAATACATTGGTACATGTATGTATTTAAAACATGTAATGCACTTAACGTCAATATTCTAAGCATTGTCATAGTCTAGGCTTGATGTTACAGGTGTGTCTATATAATATAATTAAGGAATAACTGTCTAATTTTTTGGTTTCATTATGCAAATTATCACGCAAGCCAATCGATTGATCATCGTCATGAAACCAAAAAATCTGACAGTTATTCCTTATATTTATATGCTCTTGATTCTGCAAAGTCACGTGCAACAAGTCCCGCTTCTGTCTCAATTTGTCCCGCCCCTCACGTGATTTTTTTAAAAAACGCTTTTCGATGAACCAGTAAATTTATGTAGAAATAAAGTATTTTTACTATTTGAAATTTTAGCTCGGACAAAGACATTGGAAATGTAAATATTGAGAAATAAATTATTTTCGATACTTAACTTTGAATATTTAGCCACTTTGTTTCACACTGTTTCCTGTACAAGGATACGTATCGGTATTTGCAATTATTTGCCGTCTCTCTATTTCTTTCTCTCTCGTTCGTAAGATACATGTACTAATTTATTCTACTTTTCACTTACCTAAGGTTCCCGTGGTATTTCCTGTCAGATGGAGTTGATACTTGTCTGATTCATTGGAAACAGAGAACTGATCGTACAACTCAAACAGTTTCCTTCCATCCACTAGTGTGATTGAAACATAAAGGTATGAAGTCTTTCCATAGGTTAACTGATGGATTACGTCATTTCCTGTTGAAATATATTTGGAATGATCAATGAATGTTCTTCAATACACTTGGTTTAAAAAAAAAGAATAGACCTGGAAGACGTATCAAAGAATAACAAGATATAAATTCATACTTTTGCACTTTTTAAGTAATTCCTTTTGATTTTGGAGACTTTTGGGGTAGTAAAATTCGTTTTCTTTATCCGTTTCTCTAACGTTTTAGTCCTTTTTTTTTTTTAAATTTGTTCATTAAGAATTCAAAAACACACATACAATTAATGTCGCCAAATACAGACTACCTTTCCTTAAAATAGATTTTTGATTCGCATATCTCTACAAAGATCACTAGTCAAATTTTAAAGCGGATCTTAGATTTAAATTTACCAATCCAGTTATCCTGATCCGGCGCTCCAAAACCATTCTTGTATGCTTCCCAGTTCCTGTGAAAGCTCAGGGATCCGTTCACTCTTTTTTGAATTACCTTTGAAAGATACACATTGATCAGTTATTATTTAGACAAACATTGGTATGATCGCGCTTATCAAAACTGATTCCAATTTACATGATAAACACGTTACCCCCGCGGCGCAGTGGCTCGAGGGTTTGCTCTAGAGTCGTTATGTAAGGTGTTGATCCTTATGACGCGGGTTCGAATCCCACTGGGGGACGTGGAGACCGGTCATTCGAATGAGATCGTATAAACCGAGGTCTCGTGTCATAGTAGATGCTGGCACAAAAAAGATCCCTCATTGCTCAAAGGCCGTAAGTGCTGAGTACAGATTTAAATTTGCACCTCTCCATCGGTAAGTTGTGGCCTCTAAATATGAGTGAAAAATTCTCGAAGGACGTTAAACAATGAAAGAAACAAACATGATATACACTAATGTTACAATAAACTAGAGACCGTCCATCCTCCGTCCATTGTGTCCATGTCGCAGTAAGCTCTGACAGGACCCGAGCTGGTACAACTTGGATAAATTTCGTACACACCAGATTTATTGTAACCATTGTCATGAAGGTCCTTACAATCTTTAGGAAGAACTGAAACAGAAAAAAATAATGTTGAAAATGCATTTTGAAAAGACAATTTCACAAAAAGTGTAGACCCACGCAGGCAAAAATATGTAAAGGCATCGCCAATTAACATTAACATAAATGAACATCGTTGATAAACACTGAGTTTGCAGTTAATCAACATGCATTTTTTACATTTTTTATTAATTGCCAGAAAGTTAATGAAACAGAAGAAGAGCAGAAAATATCATTAGATGATCTTGTAAGTGATATAAGTATAACGTATTCAAGGTATTGTGTTACAACAGTATTTTAAGCTCTTACAGCCCAACCAAAAAAGGAAAAGAATTGTTATTTTAATATATGAATAAAAGAATTAAGAACTTGAAATGTTCCATCAAGTTATAACAAAGTTACGTTTTTCTGATGGATCAAAAAACTACATTGTCATAACACTAAAACTTTGATAATATTGACGACATTGTCACCATTTCTAAATTTTGTACTCTTGTTCATTTCATAATTTTATAAATTCATCGTATCAAAGATTTTGAAATCAAATCTACCCCCCCCCCCCCCCGAATTTTAAGATAACTTTTTGGAACACATAATATAATGCATGAAAAATTATATGCACTCAAATAATTGAAAAAAAAGATTCAATTACCGAGACATAAAATATATGCAAACTACCTAACAGTGATCTCTTTGTCCCGCTACGAATCAGTTATAACCGATACCTTATTACGTGTTAATTTTTTATGATTTATGTGAAAGAAGAAAACTTTAGAAACAGTAATACATACAGTAGTAGATCCAGCCGTCCTCCTCCAAAATTCCAGACATAAACATCTTCATGTGGGTCCTGCATTTCATCAACTGAGGATTATATCCGAAGAAGCTACCACAGTCTTTTTGACATATCATAGCACATTCTATCAACGAATAAAAATTACATTCTCCTAAAAGTTCGCTATTTGACTTTTTATTATTAAATTCCAGTTTTGTCGTAAATGTACGCGAAATAAAATTGGTAGCTTGAGACAATGTAAGAAAGAAATCAATGAAATAGATAATCCTATGGACGCTCATATTGTACTGTGTGTTTAAAACAAACAACTGGGTTCCTTTGGCATTTTGAAAAATCGTTGTTTCAGCTATAAAGCTTATATACCAGAGCCTTGATCTGTCACAGAATAATGATTGGCTACTCGTGACATATTCTGTATTTTACAATAACTGAACAATCGATGAATATGCTTCGAAGCCCCAAGCTTGAATGAAAAAAAGTTAAAAATTCATACATGTAGCATGAACAGATGATGTCTTCTAATCATATAAATAAAATGTTGAATACTCATAGCATGAACAGAAGACGTATGCACCTTCTGATCATAGAAATAAAGTGTTAAATGTCCATTGCATGAACAGAAATGTACGTATCTTCTGATCATGTATACATACATGTATGATAAAAAGGATAATTACTATGTACAGGGGTGTTAAAAAATTACAGACTTATTGCTTTAACAAAAAGTACTATTGTTTACTATACTTAACTATAGTTTACTATAGTATCAAAGATTTTTTCACTATAGTAAATAAAAGTATTTTACTATGGATTTCATTTTTGTTCTTCAATTCATACATGCACATTTTTTTTCTATTAAAATGAAATATTTTTTGTATTTTCACATATTATTTCCAAATTTTACATTACTTTTATCGAATTTAAGAGATTTAAGCTTTGAAATCTCAAAAAAAGTTCCAGAGTAAAGTCTCATAGTAAATCAAAGTGTCAAAGTTTTCACTATAGTTAACTATAATAAATTTTTGTTAGGGTGCACAGAAAAAAAAAGATATTTGACCATATAATTAACCAAAATGTAACACACAATATAACGACATCACGGGCAGTGTATAAACGTGAGTTTTCATTTTCTCAATATCTTCTCTTAGTGTTATATACTGTACAGTTTGAGGTACCTTATCCACTCAGCATACAACCCATAAATCATTTATGGTCCAGCTTGAGAACTATAAAACTAGCATAGTATGTTCTCATTTGTTTTAAACCCCCACACTGCAGATATTTCTGACATATTTTGTGACGTCCATTACTCTCGTTCAAGTTCTTAGCAGTCTATATCAACTTTATCTTCTTCCCGAACTGTCTTTTACTGAGGTCTTACCGTCTAAAATTCTTTTTTGCTATTTTAGACAGCTGTCGGGAATACCACTGGTTCACTACATGTTTTATCAAGCATAATTAAGTCTGTTTTGGAGTTTTCCCTGGCATTACGCATAATTTGATAAACGTGTGCTGCTCCGTCGAATCACAAGAGGTCATTTTTTGGAGTCGTTTTCATAGAGATCAGATCGGAGAAAAATCACAGTATTTCTCCTCGTACTTCAAAATTTAAGTCAGAAATCTAATTACAATGTGCATATTAATAGAACAGTAACAAGAAACCTAAATTAAAATTACAAATCGGGAATTATAAAAAAATTGATCAGTAAAATTTTTATCCTGCACATTTGTTTTTTCATTTTTTTTTTTTTTTTTTTGCCGTGCTCCGTACATCGCCATCAGTAATATCAAAACAGCAATTACTTTAGAAAATTTTATTAAAATAATTAAAGAAAAATTATCCTAAAATTCACTGGAATTTTAAAGAAATATTTAAAATTTCTTCATTATTTGACGTCTGTCAGAATGAATAATAGAATAGTCCGCGTAATTTTTGAACAGCTCTCGTACATGCATTGTATTGTTCTTCTTTTTGGGGCAAATTGAAAAGACTCGATTCTAACTGTTGTTGTAGTTAAGTTACAATGATAAAAAATACTTAAAGAAAATTTTTAGATCATAGATCAAGCGTATATTTCGTGACGTATTATTTTGATATTTCTGAGCTAGTATTAACAGAAACAAATATTTTTTTACCTTCGTATTTGGATCCAATTTTTCTCTTTTTTGTACCTTGTTTGCTTAATATGGATGTCACATTTCACAGAAATATGACTTTATAAATGCGCAATACACAAATCCGTTGCCTTGAAGGTATTCATAAAAATCTCCAGTTTTGCACAGATGTAAATTATATATCTCTTTACAATTATAATCGAAAATGTGTTTTTTTCAGTTTATGTTTTGTTTTGTTTTTTGTTTTTATCAATTGCGTGCACTTTATTTAATTACTAAAAATAGAACTATAGTACAAAACTTGCTTTTCTAGAAATATTAGAAATCATCGCTTTAAATTCCACTTTACATGGTGCGTGTATAACTCACTAAGCCATGGACACCATTCATTGGCAATTTGTTTTCACACAAATAACATTTTGCTTATATAGTTTGATAAATTTACTTTAAGATATTGGGTTTAATTTTACCAACCCTTCAAATCTTCATCTTCCTATATCACTTTTTCCTAGGACGCATGAGTAATAACTTAAGGGGGGGGGGGCTGGCGGTTTCATTGCGCAATACTAGTGATAATATATTGAAGTAAAGCTATTTTATGCTTTTAAAGCAATCATTCTAACAAAATTTATCAAATTTAACAAAATTACAATGTCGTTATGTTTGTTTGTAACCTTATGATTAACTGAAGTTCTGTAACACTGGGGTCGTAAAAAGAGAAATTATAAAACATATGCTATTGAAATTTTAATCACAGGGATTTGAAATATCGCAGTTCTTTTTGATATTTTCTGTATAAATCATTCGTAGTTGTCTTATTTTGTAATTCTCCATAAAAACAGGAAGATTTTGAAAATTCTGACATTTTGAGATGCCCGCTCTAGAATCTAGGCAGTAGAATTTTGTGGTTCTTACATGTAATGCACAATACTGTATTATCATTTCATGTTATAATTTGGAAATAAATCTACTGTAGTATGTTCATCTTATAATTTAGTTAAAAGTGCACAAAAGCATCTCCTCATACAGCCCTGTATTAAATGTAACTGTTTTTGAGATGATCCCTTAAAAACACAGACGGTAGATTTTCTTGAAACTTTGCATATGCACCCAAGTCAGTGTAGGCTACGCATGGTATAAAAATCAAAAAAAAAAAAAAAAAAAACCTTTAAAAAGATATTTGGCTAAATAGTGCATTTAAAACAAAAATTATCTGTTTGATAAAAAAGGAAATTTCAATGACATCAGTTGTTTTTCTAGTATTTTTATTAATGAATCTAACTGTATAAGTGAATACTAGTATATGCGCACTGAAAGTCATCAAAGCTAAGTAAAAATATCACGATGCTTCAAAAGACGTCTTTATAAGATAAAAACCTACATTATATTGGAAAATAATAAAGTTTTTGCTTTACTTAACAAGTAGCAAAATAACATTTCAGATTTTTATTTAAAAAAAAGAAATCTAGGACACCTTACTTTAAGAAATTTTGGTCAAATTGATTAAATTTCAAAACGGATATTTATTAATCAAAATTTATTCAAGCGAAAGACAAGCAGGATTTTATTAATTGGCTATTGTAAAAGGATATTTCACTAAATTTTTAGCTTACCTGAGCCAAATATGCAAGAAAGTTTTTCTTATCAAAAGTGTCCGGCATCTGCCTCTCTGTCTGTCGTGCGTCATCTGTCGTCTGTAAGCTATTCACATTTTCAACCTCTTCTCTAAACCACTGGACCCATCTCAACCAAACTTGGCACCCTGGATAAAGTGGATTTAGATTTGTTCATATGAAGGGTCAGGTTCGAGATACTACTAATAAAGAATAAGTGAATATTTAATGGGATATTTAAAAAATCTTCTCAAGAATCACCATGCCAGATATGATTAAACTGACATGGAAGCTTACAGCCATTGTGAATACATTCAAATTCGTACAAATCTTGCCCCTAGGCCTTGGGTAGGGTGGAACCACCAAAGTTTTACATGATAATATGCAGGATAATTTAAAAATAAATCTGCTCAGAAATAGCAGAATTACGATTAATAATATTATGCATTCATTCTCAGGTAGTGCAGAATGAAGTTTATTCAAATCCTGCCCTTGGAGTTGGATGACGCCCCACCCTTTTACATGGAATTTAGGATATAAACGCGATATCCACGATTTTACGGGAAAATCCTCGTATAGAGAAAAAAATTTTAAAAAATTCCTCAGGAAAGCAGCATCATGATTAGTCAAAGTTATATTAACATACAAGCATATGCAGCTAGTACAGCTTCAGTTTTGCTCAAATTATTGTTCCTGGGGTATAATAGAGGATCATATTTTTTTTTATTTATTCATTAATGCTGCTCACCTAAAACATAGCTATACCAATAATAAATAAGCTTTCTTTCTGAAAAATTAATGATCCAACATTGTTGGTGTATATAAAATATGAAATGATTCAGGCATTACACAGAATCGTGCATGCCTCCGTGTATTGTGCTTTTGAAAAAAAAAAAGAAAGTGTCTCTGGCATTTATTTTTAAAATGAATGTAACATTAATATCTTTAAAAAAGATATTAATATTACATTTCAACAATGCGTCACCCCATCCTCTATGTATAATTAACCAACAAATGATCTTGATTCAGTCAACCATTACATAGAATCGCGTATGCATTAAAAATGTATAGATTTAACACTGTGAAAATAAAAAAGAAGAACAACAAATTGTCACGAACATACAAATTATTAATTTCCATTTTAAATGATATCTATTCTCCCCTCATTACTATTTCATGTGACACTCGTCCTCCTTTATGTATAATTAACCAAATATTTTTTTTCGTAAAAGACAACAAGAATTGATATTCGTTAAACCATTTCTCTTTCTCGTATTACTGCTACCAGCATACTTTACTGGATAGAGGAATTTTCTGTTTGTTTTCTATTAAAAAAAAGCTTTATGAAAAATTTTAAGTTTTTTGAAACTTTTCCTGTTAGTTCAGTACCATCTAATGTGACAAAATGCAAAGGACGCTAGTAGTAAGTTTTGAATCTGAGTCTAACACAAGCTTTTCTTTTTATCACACTAAGAGAGTGGTTGATTAAAGCGTATTCCTTATCGCCAACAAAAAATATAAAGAAGCAGAAATGCAAATGAACCGTTTCAATATACAGTTATCCGATATATCTCAATTATTCAAGATTCAGAGAACGTTCTAGTACCCTTCCCTCCTAAGAACTGACCTCAAACAGTGAAGAAAATGTGATAGATATGTGAAAATCATGAGATTAAAAGAA